AAAAAAAAATCTAAGATAGCTATTTTGTAGAGTAGAATTTAAGAAAAATTGTAGTAAAAAAATATCTTATTAATATTGAGTAGTAAATATTCTGTAGCGTTTTGAAGTTTGTGAAAATTTGAATTTTCATGTATTATTTTACGGTATTAAACATTGAAATACGTATTGAGAAAAGGACAGAAGAAAACACTATCTTTTCATGATTATTGTGTATACATATGATGATAATGTGTATACATTACAAACTTGGCATTAATACCATGATAAGTAATAATTGCCTTATCTAATTTCTTAAGAAATTATTTAAAAGAAAAATCAGCTAAAAATATTAACTGGATCAAAAGTTATTTAAGTTGTCAGTGAGTGGTGGGCCACCCTGTATTTATATTCAATCCTTTAATATTGTAATTTTTACGGAGAAATTATAAAAAATAATAAAGTAATAGTATGTATGTTACATCTATGGCAAACGAGTATAGAAATTAAAAGGATTCGTACAACATTTTTCAGAAAATAATTTTTTATTAATTATAATTAATTATAAATGAACACATTGAACTACAAGAAAATTTCATCAGTGACTAAAATATACTTATCTAAAAAAAATTCGCACTATTTTCAATTCTAGAATTAGAGTTTTTCTATCATCCATTATAGGCTTAAAAAAACGATAAAAAAAAACTTAATATCTATTAATAATGCTTCATAATTGTGTGATTACGTCTTATATGGTATATTAAGTTGAATTTGAAGTTTATACAAAAACAACTATTTATCAAAAATCTTACAGTTAATAATATAATGATGTTATAATAATATATACTAATGTTGGTTATTTAAGTATAGTGATAAGTAGATAATCAAAATACCCTTCTATGATCCCAAAAAGTGAGACAAATTTGTTTTTATATACACATTGAAATATTTGTTTTGTTAAATAACTATTATATTTCGTGAAAATATAATGGTAAAACCATTATACCAAGTATATAACTTGGTAAAAATCGATGTATCTTTATCTTTATCCAAATAATAACTTAAAAGGTTAATCCAAATTTTATTTTGTGAAATTATTTTTATCATAGCTAGATTTCTTTTTATTATTTATGCTCAACGCAGGTAGGTACATATACTACATTTTTATATTTATAATGTAAACACCACCCACGCTACATGCCCATTGTATATATTAAAATGCTATTAAATCAATAAATATTCATTCTAAAGTTACTATCAAACCATTAATGTTATTAATAAGAAATAAGTTAAAATATGACAATTTGTAGGTTGATGACCCACCTACTTAATAAATCATAACGTTAGACTAAAGTAGAATTTTTAAAATAAAAATTAAACATCAATTTGTTAAAAAATTTAATATTTTCAAAAACAATGACGTTTAATTTTTGTGTCATAATTAGTTTAAGCTATTAAATGAGAAAGTTGAGAAAACGTTTTTTATAATTGACCATTTTAAAATAAGAATTAAACAGTTAAATAATTGTAAGCTTATAAACTAATTAAAGATATAAGTGAAATCCCTTTAATCGTTGATAGTTTATTTAAACTAAAACTTCGTGACATAACTATGATTAGATTGGAATAAATTTATGCAAGGCTTGCCCATACCTTATAAACTAGGGAAAGATAATTTTTGAAAGGAAAGAAATACAAAAATACACGAGTTCATTAAAGATAGATCACGCAAGAAAAAGTATTTGTAGTTAGGTTAATTAGAGAGAAATTTAATAAATAAAAATAAAAATTTAAGCTAACTCAAAGCAAATACCAAACGGTAAAAAAAACTCGTTTCCAATTAAAGGGAATAAAGAGAAAAAAAATCAGAAAATAATAAAAAATTATTACATTAATAACTTATATAATAGAAAATACGATTAACATCGTCGGTTACCTGCAGATGCTGAAAACAGCGGTAGTGTTGAAGTACATAGAGTATATGTCCCAAGTAGGCGACCGGTTTTAAACAATTAGATTTAGCTTGCGGGTAAACTTGCAATCTATTGGAGTTTGCTCCTAAAGCTGAGTTTCCATATCTCATATTTAGAATTCTAGTCGAACCGGTCAGAGATTTCAGCAGTCCTGTCATATCTAAGATTAGAGTTTTCTATGTGGAAGGCAGAACAGAAAAAAGTTCGAGTCGGCCGTAAACAGTCCAAGACTGCTTCGTTAACACAGGTAAACCGAGGAATCTGGAAGCCAATGCTGTCGGTTAAGCATGCCAGATTCATAGTGATGGACTCGGTTGGGCTTGGTTTTCTAGCTTCAGGGACACGTGGAATTACGTTCATCCGACATACGCGCATGACATTTACTAAGCAGAGGGTCGCACTCTGATCCCAGTTGCTGTTCGTGAAATAGAGCTCGCGGTAGCGCTTTGCCGTGCACCTTACATTACGGCTAAGGGATTAATTATGGTGGTGAGCATCTGCGAACCCACTCTAGGAAAGGTTAATGCTAAACTGGATAAGGAAGAACTACAGCGTCACCTGTTATTACCGTCAACAGGTCATGTTAACTTCTTTCTTATTGTGATAGGTAAATAGCCTACAGTGCAATCTCCAGAAATGGTGTAGTGGACCTATGACTCTCCGCATCCCTGCCACCGGTGCCTCCGGATGATAGTGAGTACTATGACTCTTTTAATGTAAGAAAAAGTAGCTCAGATCATAAATAAATAAATAATATGTTGCCAGCCATGCAGAGTTTAGAACAAGAGGCATCTTCATACAACGCAACCAAAAAAAATTATATTTATGTAAGTACATTTTAGCGAAAGAAAAAATAATAATTACAAAAATGTTTCAAGGAAACATCAAAAACTTTCTATAGCCAAACCTTAACGCATACGACAATCTGAATTTGTAAATTCGAAAATATAATAAAAGCTATTGGGAACCAGCAAGTACTACAGAGACACATAAACGTTTCAAACCTTTAGAAGTAGAATTCAACGAAATTACAAACAAAGTGCGGGAAGTTGTCAAGAAAAATCTAAATTATTATTAATCAAGGTGTCAATATAATTGGTTAGTAGTGCAAATAGTATTCAAGAGAGGAAGAGTGCGAAGTGAGTACACGCACAAATGTATTCATGAACTAGTTCGATATGATATACAGCGGAATGCTTAGCCTAAAATAAATCACAAAACATTATCATAGGGTAATAAAATAACATAACATAAGAGGTCACAATACGCCAACAAAAATAAAATGTAAATAAAAATATACAAATATATAACTTTTTGGGGTCAGCCATCCTTATCTTACACTTCCTCTTAACGTGATATCCTACATCATCTACGCTTACATTAGCCACCCTCATATCGTATATAATAACGTCCCTTCATCACTTTTTTAATCTTCCTCTACCTCTTCATCTTTCAATATTTATTTCCATAAATGTTTTTACAGCTCCTGACTCCTCTCTCCTCATAACATATCCTAACCATCTAAGTCTATTTTCTCTCATCTTATCTACGATTGCCTATACTACCTCATATATGATCGTTCCTTATCCTATCTTTTCTCTTCACTCCACTCATCCTTCTAAGCATTCTCATCTCTACTATACTCATTTTCTTGTCAACCACCCAACATTCTGAATTCTACATCTTGGCTGGTCTTACTATAGTTTTATAGAACGAACCTTTCAGCCTCGTTTAAATTTATTCATCGCATAACACACCAGACGCTTCTATCCATTTCAACCTCATGCAGTTAATCTTGGGTCTAACATCCTCGTCAATACCAGCGTTCCTTTGCACAACTGATTCTAAATACTTAAAACTTTCCACCTCTCTCATAAGGTCCTCGCTTGTTGTTACTGATCTCCTCATTTTATTTACATCGTGTTCTTCTCTGTCGAACTTGTACTCTATATACTCTGAATTAATTAAACTTATTCTTAAATCCTTTCATTCAAAAGCTTATCTCCATACCTCTAGTAGTAATATCTCTTTTGGATACTCCTCATTCAGTAAATTTTCAAAATATTCTTTCTACTTTTTTCCCTATCATTATTGCTTGTTAGCATTCTCTTTTCATAAAATGGATAAACATGCTATAATTGGGTTGGGTTTGGTTATAAACAAGTGTGATTTTGAATATTTTTTTATTGTAAAATACATCTCTAAACTACAACTTCATATTAAATTATTTCGATAACATATAAAAATAAAATTATACTTGTCGTTTAATGTTTATGAATAGAATGTTAATAATAATAATTATTTTTTAAATTTTACTTTATTATTTAGTTAAGATATGCTCTTTTTAAATTGAAACATAATAAAAATAAATTATGTCAGTGATTGGTGTATATACCAATTTAATCTAAAAATTGTCAATAGTTATTCAGAAATTAATATAATATAATATACATATATATATGTATAATAGTATTACTAATAATAATTATTAGTAATATTACACTTAGAGTAAAAATGGAGGTGAGCAATACACTTTACATTAAATTCTTGATTGATTCCTAAAAATGTATTAATTCATTCTAGAATTGGCAGTTGATAAATTTCTTGTTGATAATATCCTGTTTAATATATAACGAAGGTAAATTTTACATTATTACATTATGTACAAGTCTAAATATTTTGCAGACAGGAATTACTTAAGATTAGCTAAATATATATATATGCAACTAGTTATACAGGTGTTACAGCAATTTTGAATATGATAACTTTGATCTAGTAGAAGTTTTATGGTAATTTTTTCAATAAAGGATATACAATGGACATATTAAAGTTATATGATAAATAATACTTTCTTAATTGTTGAAAAATTAATTTATTTCTTTTTGTTATACAAAAATATATTTCAAAATAGCTACTTTATAGTGGACAATAAAAAAAAAAATTAATAAGATAATATAAGATTAATAAGATCTTATTAATTTTTGGTTCAACATTTTTTGTAGTATTTTAAAATATGTGATAATATAAATTTTAAACTATTATTTTTACCTTACCAAAAAATGTAAATAAGAAAATGACAGAAGAAAACGTAAAATTTACACTTTAAGTAATGGATGTGCAGGTGTTTACTTTATCATAACCCACTTCATTACTCAAAGAATAAAAATTATTAAAATTTTTTTTTTTATTACCTTTAGTTACATATTATTTATTGAATTAAATGCTATGTAATATTTTTTAAATTCAACCCTTATCCCTGTAGGATAGCTAACTTTGTTTTTTTAAATGGGAACACTCATTTTGAATTTTACAATAATATGTTTGAGATTTTATTTTAATAGTATATAAAATTTGAATTTTTATCAAATCATCATTCGTTTATTAGATATAAAATTTTAAAGTTTCAAAATAGACAATTCAGAAAATATATATATCGATAAGTATGATAAAATAAATAAATGACGTTTGTCATTTTTTAAATAATAAGTTTGTTTAGTATCACTTGTGCTAATTTAAAAATTCTCTTGTAGGGTAATCCTTGTAGAAACCCTTATTGCTATTTTTTAGTTTCAATATTAAAAATTATATTTATAAATTATAATTAGCTAAGGGCAACACTGAAAATTGTAACAAGAAGATATAGATTTAATTATTTATGATGAAAGATTTAACGCTTTATTATTTCTTCATATTGAATTTAAATTCTTCAATTACAATTATTTTCACATACTATTTTAAAATAAAAACCCAGTGAATGAAAAATAATTATAAGTTATTATATAAAATAAGACGACATAAAGCAAATTGACATCGGTTATAACCCCGCGCAAGAATTATTTTGAATCTCTATGAAAAAAATCGTAACACATTTTTATCTTCAAAGCAAAACTAAGAATGTAATAATTTTTTCTATGGTGTGTTTTTTTTTTGTCTATCATTCATTTTTCTCAAATCTCACTGAGCCGATTTCTTTTAATAATATGTCAAAAAATCACCAGTCGTATTTACTTGAAGATGTTACCCTCATAAATTGAAAAAAAATTTCTCTTGTTTCTCTTAATATCAAAAGTTCACCAAAAAATTACCACTTTTAAAATTGATCATTAAATTGTTTAATATAATATATTCCATTCAACCGTTCAATATAATTAATGTAAATTCAAAAAACTCAACTCAGCTCATGGCTGTTCAACATCATTGGCTATAGTTAAAACCATTCCAATATATATATTTTTTTTTAATTGCACCCTTATACGACAGTTAAAAAAAATGAAAATTTATGTTCATATTAATCTTACAACATGTAAAAAATAAAATTATATATAAATATATTTTTTTGTTTTTTTTTTTTCATATTTGTTCATATGCACATAAACAGATGTAGCTATTGCTAAACTATTTTTTTTTTTTGTATAAAATATAATTACACTTTGTTGTTCAACTTAGCTATAATTCATTTTTATGTTCATCTAGTTCATTATTATGTTTCAAAGATATAAATAAAAAATTGATGCAAGTTGAAATTTCCTTAATAAAAATTTTAAAAAAATTTTGTTTGTCTAATACTATTAAATATATTATATTATATTATTAGACTTATTATGAATATTAATGCAATTTATTTCTAATATCACACACATGTAAGACATTTTTAATGATTTCAAGCGTAGTGAGAAACATTTTTTTTTGGTCTTTGGAACTATTTAAAACACTGTTTGCGTTAATTTTTTCCAAATCAATTGATGTTTTTAACCACTCCCCCTACATAAAGTTTACCAGAAGATACCCCTTATTGTCTATAGTAGCAATTTTGTACCGTTCTTACCTTATTAAATACATATAAATAATAAAAAACACACGAATTATGTATACGTTGTTTGTTACAATAGTTCGCTTAAGGATTTGTATGTATCAAAATAAAAACAATTCGCCAGTAGCAACGTTTAAAAAAACTGCTAAGTAAAAAAAATATAATTTATCACTTATTATAAATCTCCTATTATAAAGTCGTGATATCATTTATAGTCCTACAATTTTCGATTTAGTTGGTGAGATCAAATATAGTGCATCTTCTTATTATATAATAAAACAAGGACAAAAACGCTTTTCTAGGAATATTAATAATCGTGCTCGGATTTTCAACATTTTATTTTCAACGAAAGTACTCGGTCACCAGACCCTGGGAAAATTATTGGAGAAGGTCGGAAAATTTTGCCGCTCGCGTTTTAAAATTTCGACCATTTTTGAGAAAAACGCTCGCTGACGCCAGTGTTTCACGACTAAAGGTTTGAAATTTTTACCAGGTCCAGTCAATGATATTCCTGAAATATGATAAAAAAATCAATTCAAACTATTCATTTTTCACCGTTTTACAAGCTTTTTTTCGAGTCTACGCGCATGGTTTTAATATGCACATTAACTCAATTCTGCGCATACGTTTATTCTGAACCTTAATTTGTGTAATATGTATTTTTATTAGGGCACTATTTTGAGAATCTTACAGCGCAACAACTATTCCCTTAGTGAACTCCAATTCAATTGCCGGTAATGATACTTTGTAATTTTTTGGTGTCCTAGTTGCTATCGTTTTTTTACCGTTCTTGCTTGGGTTACCTTGACGCATGATTTCTACCGTTATCTTCACCGGTTTCGAAAACGTTACTGAATCTTGGTCTGATTCTGTTCAGTTCCCGTTGTCGATAGAAAAATATCCTCCGGAGAAATGTTCAGCAGCCCGGAGACTCAATATCACTATACTTACCATACTCAAGTATGGTCTTACCTGACATAATGAGTGGTAATATAATTAATAATAGAATGAAAGTAGGTCAATGGAAGATAGCGATGCATTGATCACGTGTACGGCAATTATGGGTTTGCCTAATTTATTTTTAGCTCAAACCACGTTTATTGGCTATAATTAATATTGCCTGAAATTACTTACTAATTCACTGAACTACCCCAAAAATCTAAGACTTAACTTAACTTGAGCCCTTTAAAGATTAAATCAATAGCTAAGTTTCACTTTTAGTTTATGATGAGCGTTGGAATGATAATTGAAGTAGTAGTAAATGACATTTTAGTCCATCGCTCGAGCGACCGGTTCGCACCACCCCTTGGCAACCCCGCATAACGCGACCTGTCGGACGTAAAGAGGAAGCGCCACGATCGCCATCCGGTGGTAACACCGGAAATGCGATGCTACCGTGACAAACTACGTTGATTTTTCCAGGTGATTTGTTATTTTTAGTTTTTTTTAATGTTGTAGATTTCTTGTTTTGTTATGGGTTTGAATATATGGTTTCGTCGTACTATATTACATATCTAATTCTTCTAGTAATAATAATTTTTTCTGCCAAACTTTTTTCACATCTTAGTACTTTACTGTTGGATTTTTGTAGTTCTTCTTTTGTTATACAGATGTATTCCTCCATAACCTCCCTTTATGAAAGTTTTCCTATATATTATTTTACCGATTTCTTATTTTTTACTTTTTTCATCTTACAGATTTAATNTTAATATTGCCTGAAATTACTTACTAATTCACTGAACTACCCCAAAAATCTAAGACTTAACTTAACTTGAGCCCTTTAAAGATTAAATCAATAGCTAAGTTTCACTTTTAGTTTATGATGAGCGTTGGAATGATAATTGAAGTAGTAGTAAATGACATTTTAGTCCATCGCTCGAGCGACCGGTTCGCACCACCCCTTGGCAACCCCGCATAACGCGACCTGTCGGACGTAAAGAGGAAGCGCCACGATCGCCATCCGGTGGTAACACCGGAAATGCGATGCTACCGTGACAAACTACGTTGATTTTTCCAGGTGATTTGTTATTTTTAGTTTTTTTTAATGTTGTAGATTTCTTGTTTTGTTATGGGTTTGAATATATGGTTTCGTCGTACTATATTACATATCTAATTCTTCTAGTAATAATAATTTTTTCTGCCAAACTTTTTTCACATCTTAGTACTTTACTGTTGGATTTTTGTAGTTCTTCTTTTGTTATACAGATGTATTCCTCCATAACCTCCCTTTATGAAAGTTTTCCTATATATTATTTTACCGATTTCTTATTTTTTACTTTTTTCATCTTACAGATTTAATTATAATATTACAAATTCTTTGGTAATATGTTACAAAGGATTTTTACAATTATAAACAATTTTTATAAAACGCCCAATTGAGTAGATTTCTTTAACAAGTTTTTGATTGGTTTTTTAGTTCAATTAAATCATTTACATTAAATTTATTTTAATAGTTAAAATAATTTCATAACTAAATATTTATTTTAACAATACCATTTTTTTATTTCTCATAAAAATGACTAATTAATGATGCACATTTCAAGCTCGTAATAAAAATTTAAAAAGAGCATGGTAGAAAATTCAAGTTTTATACCATAAAAACTTTTATAAAAATCAACTTTAAAGGGCCATAATATAGGTAAAAAATAACTATTTAAGGCCACATTTCTCAGTTGTCTTATTTAAGAATTATAATAATTAAACTATAGTCTCATACTTAAATTTCCTAAAACTAAGTCAACGTTGTCAAACTAAGCTTAACCAGGATTAATTACTGTATTAACTACTAAATTTCTCCGAAAATAACCATAATTTAAAAAAAACTTATTTTTAATTTTTATTCATATTATTTATATTTTTATAAGCGGTTAAATAAATTTTATGTTCAGAAATTATTTATAATAAATGTAACAACTTATTTTTTTTAACGAAAACATACATAATTCATCAAATTAAATATTAGAAAATGATCTTAAAAGAGAAACAACTAGTGGATAACAAATTTTAAACCATTATTTTGAAAGTTATCAACATGTTTAAATATTTATTAAAATTATTTCATACATAGCGCAACATTACACAGACAAATATTTACTGATCAACAAATAATTTTGGTTTTACTTTTGTAATTCAATGTTTGACAATAGATTCAAACTCTAACCAATAGTCAATATTTACAATATTCTCAATATGAATAAGTTTAAGATTATAATTAAATGCTAAGATTAATAAGGTTATTCAGACTAAACATATCTGTAGTCTACACTCTTCTGCTAAACAAACTATTAATATACTACAGGAACATGAAATAAAAGAAACCCATTTATCACTCTACCACTGTGTTTTTTAAATAACATATAACTACAATTTCATTACTATAGATTTATTTTAAATTATTGTAATTTTTGATCTTCCAGGGTCTTGATTTAAATTAAATTTTCTTAAACCTCTTTTACAAATAACCAAATTATTTTGAAAAAATTTAAACACTAACATTAATACTAAATATTTATTATTATATCAACTTTATTGAAACGAGTTTTAGTAACTTATCTATTTTATCTATATTCTATCTGAATACTATTTTGGTAAAAAATTATTTTAATGTCCAATTTAAGTTATATTACTTCCGCATTAAAAATCACAATGTTTGTGCAATTGTTAAATACATAATACCCTCATTTTATATTAATCCGATAGTTTTATCATCTGAAAACGTGAATAATTTGTTTATTGGAACATGAGTAAATATGCCTAATGATCATCGTAACTCAAGCATCTCCTTTATTCATAATTTTATCTTTCCAAGAAATTAAGAAAGTAAAAATTGTTAATGAACTGTATTAGGTATTGTGTAGTAATCTAGCAAAAATTAATTTCTATGATAATAATTGTTAAGTATTCTCTTTAGCAAATGAAAATAAATATTCAGTTAGTGAAAAAATATGTCGATTTGAAAATGATACGATGAGATATGCTGCTGCAACTGGTGACTTAGAAACATTAAAAATAGCTTACGAGAGTGGATGTGATTGGGATCAACATACAATTACTGAAGCCGCTGCAAATGGACATTTAGAATGCATAAAATATGCACACGAAAAAGGTTGTCCATGGGATGAAAGAACAACAGAAGCAGCTGCAAAATATGGTAATTTAGAAAACTTAAAATATATTAGACAAAATGGATGTAAATGGGATGAAAAAACAACAAAGGCTGCTGCTGAAAATGGACATTTAGATTGTTTAAAATATGCACATGAAAATGGATGTCCATGGGATGAAAATACAACAATAGCGGGTGCTTTTAATGGAAACTTAGAAATTTTAAAGTATGCTCATGAACACGGATGCAAATGGAACAAAGACGTGACTGTCATAGCAGCAGCTTATGGAAATATAGAATGTTTAATATATGCTCATAAAAATGGATGTAAATGGGCAAAATATGTTACATGGAATGCTGCTGCAAATGGACATTTAGATTGCTTAAAATACGCGCATGAAAATGGTTGTAAATGGGATGTTGATTCAACAAGTGACGCTGCTGCAAATGGACACTTAGAATGCTTGAAATATGCCCATGAAAATAATTGTAAATGGAATAATGATACAACAAGGTACGCTGCTTTGAATGGGCATTTAGAATGCTTAAAATATGCACATGAAAATGAATGTCCATGGGATAAAGGGATAACAAAAGTAGCTGCCTCTAAAGGCCATTTAGAAATTTTAAAATATTCCTACGAAAATGGATTTGATTGGTCTGAGGGTACAACTATAGCTGCTGCACATAGCGGCTCTTTAAAATGCATAAAATATGCACATGAAAACAAATGTCCTTGGGATAGAGGAACAACAAAAGTAGCTGCGTCTAAAGGTTACATTGAAATATTAAAATACATTCATGAAAATGGATGTCATTGGGATGAAGATACAACAAATGTTGCTGCTGAGAATGGACATTTAGATTGTTTAAAATATGCTCACGAAAAGGGCTGTAAATGGAATGATGAAACAACAAGAGTTGCTGCTTTAATGGGTCATCTGGACTGCTTAAAATATGCTCATGAACATGGATGTGAATGGAATTCTGTCACATGTAGAGCTGCAACTGAAGGTGGTATGGTCCACTGTTTAAAATATTGTCACGAAAATGGATGTGAATGCGATAAAGATTTAGCTATAGTTGCGGCTGCGTATGGGCAATTAGATTGTTTAAAATATACACATGAAAATGGGTATCATTGGGATGAAAGGATAACAGAAGTAGCTTTTTTTTATTCTAGCTATGATTGTTTAGAATATGCTCTTGAAAATGGATGTAATTGGAATCAAGGTACGATAGTTAGAGCTGCTATTCTCGGTTATTTAGATTGCTTAAAATATGCATATGAACATGGATATAATTGGGTTGAAGGTACGATAAGAGGAGCTGCTGCAAATGGACATTTAGACTGCCTAAAATTTGCTAAAGAAAATGGTTGTGAATGGGACGAAGGCACAACGAGAGAAGCTGCTGCTATTGGTTGTATTGAGTGTTTGAAATTTGCATATGAAAATAAATATAAGTGGGATGAAGGAACAATGAGTGCAGCAGCTGCAAATGGCCATTTAGACTGCCTAAAATATCTTTATAAAAATGGATGCAAGTGGGACGAAGCCACGACAAGACTTGCTGCTGCAAATGGTAAATTTAACTGCATAAAATACGCCCATGAAAATAACTGTCCATGGAGTAAAAATACCATATATGAAGCTACTCAAAAATATCAACATGATATAGTAAGATATGCCACCGAAAATGGTTGTCCTAATTAGTATTCTATTATTATTATCTTTTTTTATATTTGTATAATTTGTTATATACTTTATTTTAAAATAAATTGTCTTAATATATTATTCTATGTATTTTAATAACTACAATTTTGATAGTTAAATTCTATATGAAACGTTTTTTTTTAAATATAATCAAAATTCAATATACTATATTTACTTTTTTTTTTTTATCATACGAATATCGTAATACAAAAACGAGAATAGTAGAATCGGAGGCTGTAAGAACAGTCATAAAAATTAATGTTGAAGGAAGACCTAAAAAGATATTGAGAAATGTTATTGAACGTGTTATGAGGATGGCTGATGTAAGCGTAAATGATGTGAGAGGTCGTGTCAAGTGGAAGTTTTAGATAAAGGTGGCCGACCCCAAGTAGTTGGTATTTAGGTGATGTAAAATAGGAAGAAGTTTACTAATGCGTATTAAATAGTAAGTTGTGAGCATCACACAATAATATTTAATGTAGCACAAGGAAAAGAAATAGTAGTGATACAAATAAGTATATATTAGGGTGTCTCTTATTTTGAAAATATTGATAATTTCTCAGACTCACCTCCCAAATTTGTGTGTATACATATAAAAAGTGGCTACAAAAAATTTCAGGCCGATCAGATAAATTTAACCCGTGCCGACTTGGGGTTGAAAATCAGCCAAAAGAGGTAATTTTTTAGTTTTTAGTAATTAACTCGTAAATTAGCGCTCTCACAAAAAAAAAAATTGAAACTAAATTATATATCTAATTGTTTTGTATAAATTAAGTTCTAACAGGTTTTCTTTTAAATCCATTAGTTTTCTAGAAAAATGTCAAAAAACATAATATTTCGTAAAATTAGTAAAAAAGTAAAAAACCAGTTAAGGTGAACGTTGGAACGAAACAGAACGCATCATCATTAATATATGGTCAACGGGGGCCTTGTCCACGGTGTCAAGGGCGTGGAGACACCCGATTGACATATTGATAGGTGGATAGCTGATATCGAGAGAGACACGGATGAGCGCGAGTCTAGAGCGTTACACGGTGTCGTGTCAAGACAAATAAACTTTTCTCTTTATCTATAAATGATGATAAGATCCTGCATCACTTGTACGCATATACTGAGCCTCTTGACACGTAACACCTTTATCGGCCATCGCCCTACTAAAACTTTATAAATACTAAATAGAATAAAATTGTTACACGTTTTAAATAATTATAATGTTATGGATTTATAAAGTTTAACCTACAGGTTAAACATTAGGTCTCATTTTTTTTAGAGAACTATAGTTCAAGAAAGGATGTGCACATTCTGCATTGTATTTTTTTTTTTTTTTTAAATCAGGCTATATCATTAATTAATTAAATTAACAATAATAAATAATATCAGTTGAGTTTCATATAATTAATAAATTTAATAAAATTGGTTAGTTTAATAAAATTGACGCATATATTATGTAAACATTTAAATTATTAAAATTATTATGCAAACATGGATATATCCTCAAGCACTTCAAGCAACAAAACAATCCATGAAAGCTTTAACACATTCATATTAAAATATCAGTTATCAAAATGTATGCATTCTAATAACGCTATCTGCTTTAAAAAGAATTGACTTATTTTCCCGACTCTATAACAAAAAATAGATAGCGCTATTCTATATGAAAATTCAATTGTAATTGTATTGTCAAAAAAATATTTAATTAAATTATAAAATAAAACTATGAAATAAGGGGATCACTCATAATGAACTGATAGAATGTATAAAAAATTTTTTTTTTCTATGCAGGAATATAGTAATATTTTAATTTAGTATTTAAAGGAACATAATGCTATTTTAAAGAAAACGCTAAAACTAGTTCTGGATTTATATTGTGACCTTCACATAACCAAATGTCAGGTTGTCAACTTTGCTGACTTATTACCACAATTCTAAAATGAATAGTTAAATAAATACTTCAAATTATGTGAAATTAGAGACTCATAATTATAGGCGGTAGTTATATAAAGAATGGCCTAGCAGCATTTACTGACAACTTAAATAACTTTTGATCCAGTTAATTTTTTTTGCTATAACGCGTATCCACTGTTTACGGTTGAACCGGTGATGCTTCACTGCGCGCTAATATATATGTATATATATGTATTTATAGATGTTAATCCGCTATTAGATATTTAATAAGGTGTAACACTAAGTCCAGCGCACGACTTCAATCACAATTATAGTTAATTTAAGTTTACTCCAATTACTGATCTTTAACGGATATATCCTTAAGTTAAAGCGCGCGGTCAAGAACACACAGATAAATTTGCAAACACAATTTTGTCGAAATTTCAACTAAGAGGTAGAGCCGGAAATATCTGAACAAACCACAGAAAGAAAACAAACGTTCGCATAGGCGAAATATGTCCGGTTAAGGTAGTCGTCCGAAAAACGCAACAACAAAAGAAAATACACCACTTCAGGTGAACGTCGAAAACGAAACAGGACGCAATATCGGTAATCCATATTCGGCGGCGGCCTTATCTCAGTGTCAAGGGCGGGGAGACGACCGATGACAACCGATTGTCATATTAATAGCTGGACGGCTGATATCGAGAGAGACACGGGTGAGCGCCAGCCTAGAGCAAAAGGCGGTGCCGTGTCAGCTATTTTTTTTTAATAGTTTATATACTTGAAGACTATAATAATAATTTAATTGATATCATTTCTATAATTAAATTTAATAAAATTAAATTTTAAAAATTTACGAAAAATGTTTAAAAAAATTTAAAAATAGCCATTTTTAGAATAGATTTTCAAAAATAATTTGATGAAAAAAAGTACTTAATAATTTTTGGTAGTTAATTTTTGTTAAATTTTAAATTTCGTAAAAATATGAAATTTTCTGTATTTATTCTACGGGTATCAAACGCTGCTATGTTATATAAAAATTACAGAAGTAAACATTATTTTTTTACACTAACTATGATATGAGTATGGATTTTACCAATGGATGTAGCAACTAAATATAGTATGAAATTAATATTAAATAATTTAGTATTGCAATTTTTACGGAGAAATTATAAAAATACCCAGCAGTTAGTTTAAGATATATATAAAAGTGTCAGTATTTCCGGAATACTACCAAAAATTAAGTTTCAAAGGTCTACTTTCTATATGTATTTTTAAGTTTTGAACTACCCCAGTATAAAAGGAAATGGCCCGATTTATACAAAAAGGTATATCGCATATAAGAAGTATATTAGTGGAAGTCATAATGTTAAAGTCACAAAAAAATCATAATGATCCATACATTTTTCAAAAAATTATAGCATTATAAAGTTAAAAATACAAAAAAGAATTTTTTTACAAGGATCGTATTTTTTTTTTTCTTAACTTTGATGTCTATTTTCAACGTGAAGACAAAATAAAGTCCGAAATTTTTTTTTTTTATATTTACGTATTAAGTTTTAATTTAAGATATATATAAAAGTGTCAGAGTTTCCAGAATACTTTCAAAAATTAAGTTTAAAAAGTTGTCATTTTGAATCCTTCCCTGTGAGCAAGTCAAGGGTCAGATTTATAAAAAAATTATATTGATTCGTTCATTTTTCAAAAAGTTATGGGAATTTTAAATAAAAAAAATTGAAAAAATGTAAAAAATTATCGATTTTTAAATTTGTAATTTTTTGTAATTTCCCCCATTTACGGAGAATAAGGGAAATTTCTTTAATTTTTGAGGGTAATGTCTTCGATTAGATACGATTTGTGATCTTTTAAGGTATCGTTGAAAGAAATCGGTTCGGTGAGAGCTGAGAAAAAGTGGTAACAGTCACAAAATTAATATCTTCTCAGCTTTGCATCAAAACTAAAATACGATTTTTGTAAAAAAATTCTTTTTTATATTTTTAAACTTTATAATGCTATAATTTCTTGAAAAGTGTATGGATCATTACAATTTTTTTATGATAAATACTGTTTATATACTTCTTTCATTCAAAATACTTTTGTATTAAATTGGTCAATTTATTTGAATACAGGGGAAGTTAAAACTTAAAAATGCGTATAGAAAGTAGCGCTTTTACAACTTATTTATAAATAAAATATATTTATTGATTATTCATACATAACCTAATAATGAAACAAATATTTGATTTATTAATTAGGAGAATTTAATTATTATTTAGGACATATCTGAAACTGTAATTACAGATTTGAAATCGGTGCAAAAATGGGTTTAGAAAAGTATATTTTGTTTTTGGATGAGAATTCCTTGTAGACTAAAAGGTTACAAATATCATAAAGAAAAAATTGGCCACAACGAAAAATTTGTAACTTTTATGGCGCATTGAAAAATATCAAAAAAGAGTTGCCAACCCACTGGGCGAGACAATGTACAGTCGGACCACAGTAGGATTTAAAAAGAATGAAATATTGTACATTAAAAACAATTTAAGATAAAAATAATGAAAAGGTTGAAGTTGATGTCCGTTGAGTCATTGATAGTAGATGTACATCAAAACCTCGTGACAGTTGTCACATAACCATGATGATGAAGGATGGCCTTATACAAGGCCGTTGCCCTTATCTCATAAACTATGGGGAGTTGATTTTTGAAAGGAAAAAAGATAAAAAAATACACGAGTCCATTGAAGATGGAACACATAAAAAAAAATAAGATGATAGTTAAATTAAATTAAGGGGACTTTATAAAAAAAAAAAAAAAATTAAGTTAATACGAGGCAAAAAACCGAATGATCAAAAAACGTCGTCTACAAATTAAAGGACAACAGAGAAAAAAAAACAGATATTAATAAAAAATAGTTACACCTACACATTTATAATTAGAAAAATACGATGAACGCCTTCGGGTACCCACCGGCTACTAATCACGGCATTAACGCTAAGCACGGTGGTATACATCCCAAGTAAGCGACTGGTTTTAAACAGTTAGACTTAGATTGCAAGACGTTGGGACACCTCGGAATAAAATACACTACGTCACCACATTGTACTAATGATATATATGCACCACCCAATATCATATACCTATATATAAAAAAATGTATATAACTTGACAGGTGGTATTGTAACACGCATGCCATGTTGAGGGACCTAAATAAAAATAATAAATAGGGACACCTACAAAAAAATTTAATATAAAA